AAAGGGAGGCTTGCAAACAACAAGTTCAAGTTTCTGAAGCTATAGAGGCTGAGAGGACAAGAAAGCTACTTCCTAGGGCCCCAGCCCAGCATTCAGGGAAGTAGGCAAAGCCTCTGGCAGTAAGGCTGGGGCCCCTGGCTCTGATCAGCATGAGGGGCCCGGATGCTGGGAGGACGGACTGTCATGGGAGCTGATGTCTAGTGGGGTCTGCGTCACTGCCGTGCCTGTTTCCACTCCCCATGCTTGCTAGGGTCACTTGGGACACAGATTTGGGGGCCAGAGCCCAGGACGAGAAACCTCTATGAACGTGTCAGATCTTTCTGGACGACCTTGATCTCTCTGATCTGCTGGTGATATGCTGTGTATCAGCCTGCCTGAGACAGAGGCCTGGCCACACACACACCCCAGAAAGCCCACCCAGGGCCCACATGGCATGGACACCACCTAGGGTTGGGCCCAGTGAGTTGTCAAGACTTCAGCAAGTGAGCGAGGGCTGACCTTGACCGGGCAAGGATGTTACGTATCTTCTCAGCTTTACGGTAGCGCGCCTGCAGCTCCTCCAGGCTGGGGGGCTCTTCGGGATCCAACTCCACATAGCGCTCAGGGATGGAGACCTTCTCTGGTTTGGACAGCTGGGGAGAGACCCGGGAGGTGATGGTCGAAGAGGTTCAGCTGTTTAGGTTTGAGATCTGCTTTCCCTGCCTCCGCCCTTGCCCACCATGAGGAAGCAAACAGAGTCCATGGAGGTGAAGTCACTTGCTAATATCACAAAATCAGTTAGTTGCGGAATCCAGATTTGCACCTGAGTCCGACTCCAAAGCCCGTGTTCTCTCCTTTACACCAGACAACCTCATACAGGCCAAGGGAAGGGCAAAACGTCTACACTAAAGCTCTCAGAATAAAAAAAAAAATCATCCTTGATGCCATCCTCAAGGTCCTAGGTGAGCTGACCCCTTATGACCTCTCCAGTCACACTGACGCACCTGTTCCTCCTGGTGCCCTCCCATGAGGCCCCTGTCCCTGCTGTTCCCTGTCTGATCCCCTCACTCCCACTCTCTCAATTTCTGTTCACCACTGTCTCCTGCTGTCTAATGCAGGGACCTGGTCCTTGGTAGCCCTTCAGCTAATACTCCTTGAAGGGATGGATGATGATAAACAGATGATGGATGGATGAAGGAATGAGAGAAAGGGAAGTGACAGTGCTTTCTGTCTCTACGTTTGCACTTCTGATCTAGACAGGAGGAAGAGATGCTGTGTCTACTGCTTTCTAGAGAAAAATGGCCCCAAATTCTTCCCCACCAGCATCTTACACTGACCCAGTGGCAAACCCAGCTTAGTGAAATCTTGCTGAGACTAAGAACACCAAAGGTAACTTTTGCATGCCCTAGGGAACTTTCTCTTCCTCGACTTACAAAACCACCTTAAAATGGGGTTTTGTTAGCCAGGCTCGGCGGCTCAGCCTGTAATCCCGCGCTTCGGGAGAATGAGGTGAGTGGATTGCCTGAGCCCGTGGGTTCGAGACTCGCCTGGATAACTTGGTGAGACCTCATCTCTACAATAAATCAAAAATTAGCCGGGCGTGGTAGCGTGTGCCTGTAGTTCCAGCTACTTGGAAGGCTGAGGCGGAAGGATCACCGGAACCCAGCAGGTCAAGGCTGCGGTGGCCAGGAGCGGCCACTGCACTCCAGTCTGGGCGACAGAGTGAGACTCCAACTCAACAAAAAAAAAAAAAATGGGGTTTGTTGTCGATGCTCCTAAAAACAGGCTCAGTCCAATCCCAGGGCAAATCTGGCCAAGGATTTAAACCCATACCCAGCCCTTTCACTCTGCTGCAGATGGCAAGAAATAAGCTCTCCTCTGTTATTTCCAATGAGGACAGGTCTAGAGGAAGGAAGTAGATTACATTGTAGCAGGAGGGATTTAGGTTAGAGATAAGGAACAACTTTTTCACTGGGCTGGCAGGCCAATTAGGACACTATAGAACACACTTTCACTGCCAAGGCAGCACGTGGGAGCTTCTTTTGTGAATCTGAGAAAGCACAGACCTTTGGCTGTCTCAGGTGCCAAAGGGAAAAGGTCTGGCGGCAGGGAACTGGCCTTGTTAACCCCTGGAGCCCCAGCTGACCCCAGAACTCAGCAACTCTATAGGCAACTATCTGCCCACACATTGCACCTTTGTTCCCAAAGAGCAAATGAGCCCTGGACATATCGAATCAGGGAGATGCCACTGGCAAGATCAGTTTGCGAGTGACCTGTCCCCGCCTCTCAAAAACAGGGAGGCACCGAAAGGTACTTCTCAGGGCTCATTCCCTCGTCAGACAGACCTGTGGGGAATGGGGGTGAGGTCCCACCTAAATCCATCCTCCATGCGGTGTGAACATTTCCCCCCATACAGTTTCAGGGCAGGCCAAGTCCTCATGCAAGTCCTCATGTGATTTATTCAACACAGTCTTCATTTGGCAACTATGTTCAGAGTTCCTACTGAATGCCAGGCCCGGTGCTAGGGATACACAGGTGAACCAGGCTGCCAGAGACTCTGCCCCACAGAGCTTACAAATGGCACAACATAAGAGACCCCCAGTTCCCTTTCTCTTCCCCTGGGTAGAGACATTCCTGATGGTTAGACAGTGCCGGGGGTGCGGCTTTCCTGGGCCTGTCTGTCATGACACATGTGAACCACCAGAGGGCAGCAGAAGAATTCAGACCAGAACGACCCACCGGCTCACTGGCTCGTGGCTTCAATGGTGGAGGGATACTACTTCGCCTGTGATATTAAAACTGCCTTGCCCGTCATTTTCCCCCCAAGTCAGATTACCCAAGCTGGACTGACTGGCCAGTTGCCAGGCCAACCCTTGTGGCTCCAGGGAACATTTCCTATCAATCGCATCACATGCCAACTCGGTGCTACTGGCATTGCTAACGTGTCCGCTGGGAACACGTGACTAAATCCTCACCACAACTCACATCACTGTTGAGGACACCGAATCATGTAGACACCACTGGCAAGATCAGGCACAGAGAAGTTACCGCTGCAGTGTGTCCCAAATTACAGATAGATTTGTTATTTATTTTTTTGAGTCGGAGTCTCACTCCATCCCCCAGCCTGGAGTGCAGTGGTATGCTCACAGCTACCCCAGCATCTACCTGCTGGACTCTAGCAATCCTTCCACCTCAGCCTCCCAAGTAACTGGAACTACAGGCACGCACCACCATGCCTGGCTAATTTTTAATTTATTGTAGAGACGCGGTCTCGCCAAGTTGCCTGGGCTGGTCTCGAACCCACGGGCTCAGGCAATCCCCTTGCCTTGGCCTCCCAAAGTGCTGGGATGACAGGCTGAGCCACCGAGCCTGGCCCAGAGTTAGATTTGAACCTTCAAAAGGCTCCTTTTCTTGCCTCCAGCTGCTACCCATTCATACTCCTAGACCACACTGAAGCTGAGCCTCATCCCCGCTCGGGACAGTACCCCCCCCAGCGGGAAGATGGATCAGGCTGGGAGCGTGATGGCAGTGTCTCCCGGGGGGCATGAAGGAAGCCCCTGCCCTCACCTCTCTGCTGATGTCCAAGTCATAGTCTTGAGGCTCCAGGTCCAACTCAGTGACAGGCATGGCCTGCACTTTCAACCAGCCATTCTCCTCCTTGTCCTTTCTTTCCCCTTGCATGGCCCGTTCCAGCAACTGCAGGTCAAAGTCCTGCTCACGCTTCCACTGGCAACAGAACAAGAAGGTTAAATGCAGTTGCTTCCCGATGGCTGCAAGAGTCATGCTGGTCCCCTTTTAGATGGGGCCGAGCAGGCATGGGGTCCTCGGAAGGTGTACCTGTGACCCACTAGGGAAAAGCTGTATGTGAAACAAAGAACAAGGCCTCTGTTCCCTTTGCAAGGTCTGTTCCAGACTGACTGCTCTCTGATCTGGGCCCCTGCGAGGGTTCGAACACATACCTTCGGGGCACAGGTCTGAGATGCATGGCTCAGTGGCCCCAGGGGATAGAGAAGGCTCCCAGGTCCGAGAGGGGGACCACACACCTGGCACAGAGCTCCAGAGAAGGGATCTATCCCTTCTACTGCCCCCATAGTTCACGGAAGGCTTTCTGGAACAGGACCCATATGTCCCGGGCTCGGACACAGTGGGAAAAACAAGCCCTTCAAGGCCCCGCTGAGAGCTTCTCTATTGGGGACTTCCAACAGGATGCGATCAAGGATGAAGGGCAGCTGGGGGATATTGTACCCACAACAGGGCTGGAGAGGCCCAAAGCAGGGCAGCCTGGAGTCAGTGAGTCAGACAAACGGTGTAAGATGGTATCTACTTGCGACAGATTCTCTTTACATTAGAAAAAAAACCTGAATCACATAAAATTGAAATACTAAATCAAATGCAGCGATTCAAAGGCTGTTGCACAGTGTTAACTTTGTAACAAGCTTTCCAAGAGGGAAACATCTAAACCGACCATTTCGAGATCCAGCCACTACTGTCCAGCTCCGTGGTGGCTTCCTGTCCACCTGTCACCTGCATCCTCACCAGCCTTTGACCGCTGAGCAGATTGTTGAGGACAGAACGGGCTTGAAGCCTCTCTTCTCTTGAGCAGAAGCAAAGCAGATGCTTACCCATCACAGGCCACCTCCTCCCTCCCACCCCATCCACCTCACAGAGCCCCAAATGGTCATGATTGTCTCTGATGCCCCAAGTCCCTCCAGAACCCCAAACCTAGAGCCTATCCGCACATTTCACCCATTCATGCACAAGCTCTCAGTACTGACTCCAAACCAATGTAATCACTCGTAGGTGATGGCTTTCCAATAATAGTTTGAAAGGATTAGGCATTTGAGGGTCCAAGAATGAAACGTTCATTTGATGATTCACAAAGAAAACACACATTCCCTTACACGCTCACAAGGGCTCTAAATAGAGACAAATCCTCATTTAAACCAGCCTGATTGCTTCCACAAACAGGAAAAGACTAGACTCACCAATGTATCCTGGGGAAAAACCACGCCAATCCATTCTTATTAAGCAACATGTTTATTGGCGTTGATGCAGAGACTTACACAAGTCTTTTTTTTTTTAAGAGAAAAATTACAAGGTATTTAAATTATGATTTTTAGATAATCTCTACATTGAGACATCGAATTGTAAAAGGTCAGTGTTAGCGTAACCCCTTATGACATTTGTGTATAAAGTTTAAAAGTTACCAGGTTTGCAGCTTTTGAAGGTATGAGTGTCCTGGGTCTTGACCCTTTGGTATTTGAGCTAACAATTGCAGAGAGGTCCTCTGAATACACAGAATATTTTGCTATTCATTCAGTGATTAACCAGAAACACAAAAGGCTTTCGATAAGAAATTGTGCGATTGGACTAGAAGAATTAAAACTGAACAACCTCAGCCTTGGTAGAACTTATCCGAACACGCAATTTCTGAAGTCCGTGTCTACTGTCCAGGCGTAAGGCATGGATTCTGGTCAACCAGTCATGCCCAGACCCCTGCTCATGACTGTGGTCTCAGGCAGCGGGTTGGCTCAGGCTTGTGGGTGGCTTTTGGGACGAGTGAATTATGAGTCAGTAGGCCTGCACGCGGAGGAGGCAGCAGAAAGGTGAGTCATGCCTGGGGGCACCCACCAGGCCATGGAGACAAGAGCTGCTATTACAAGCCTGGTGAAAAAAGTACCCCAGGCCAGTTAGAGAACGTTTAATGCAAATCAGAAGCTTCTGTAAACACAATCAGGCAGGATTAGAGAGGCAATGAGCGGTAACACTAAAAGCAAAGAGCTTGTGCAATGAATTAGGGAAAGAGCAGTCAGGCTAGAGGTTTGGGGAAACATGGGATTTTAAACAGGGGAGAAAGTCAACGGAATGTTTCCAAAAGGGACACGGAAGGCGACTGTGGGCAGGGCTCAGAGTCAGGAAGCGCCATCAAGAGGTGGCAAGGTGCCCCACCCCCAGCGCTCCTGGGCACCAAGGCCTCAGCACCACAGACAGTGGGGGAGCCAGGCCCTCAGGGTGTTGGCACCAACCAGGGCTCAGTGTCCCCCACAGAGCACCGCCTGCGGGCTGGGGAGACTGGTCAGCTGGCCTGTGCTTCTCTGCATCAAATCATATCACCATCTTCCTCCTCTACTCCTTGGCCCTGCATCCCTAGGTCCTCAATTCAGCTGAGATTCTCAGTGCCCACCAAGGCCCCCCTCCAGTTTGGCTCGGGAAATCGATCGGACGGTTCCTCAGACTCCTAGGCCTGTGTTGTTAGGTCTTCTCTCCTGCTCTGGCTCCGGCTCATCCTCCGACCAGGTCACGCGTGCAGCCTGGGTCGCGGGCCAACAGCCCCAAGGGGTGCTGAGCCATCTAGGTCAGTGGCCGGGCCACTGGCGTGGGTGTGATGTGCTTGTGTCTGGGGGACCGGGGGAGCTCTGCTCAGCTTGGGGGACGCTCTGCTCCCGGTCCCAGCCCCGTCTGCCTGGCCCTGCTAACATACTGAGCCGAGATCTCCCGGGAGCGGCTGGCTGAAGTAGCGGGACGAGGGCAGGCCCGTCCTCTCGCCTTGGCTCAGCGTCCTCTTGCGCTCCCGGACCAGGGCCTTCTGGTGGCGTTTCATGCGCTCCAGCTGCTCCTCCGCACTCATCTTGCTCCTCTGGTGGTCCCCTGAGTATAGGCGCTCCAAGGCACTCTTGGGTCTCTGTGGAGGAGGAGGCCGAAAGACACAGAGCAGCTGGGCTGGGGTGCAGAGGACAGCCACCTGCTGGCCGCATTTCTGTCCTTCATGTCTCTCTCTCTCTCTCACATGCACGCATGCACGCAACTCTTCTTGGCCATAGAGAACCACTTCCTCTAAGCACCATGATGTCCCTGGCTCTCTTAAGCCATTTGGGCAGCACCCCATTCTGCAGATGCAGACACCGAGGTCCAGGCCTATCCAGCTGGTCAGCTCGTGATGAGGCCAGAACCCAGGGCGCAGACTCACTCCTTGAGATCCCTCCCATGACCCTGGCAGGTTGGATGGAGAGGTGTGGGGGACAGGAAATAGAGAGGGTAGTGAGATGCCCTTCTAGGTGGGCAGTGGATGACAGGGACCCTGAGCCCAGGAGGGGCTGAGGTCAGCTCGGAGGCCATGTCCAGGGCTCACCAGTCACTGTCCACCTCGGGGCCCCTCCCTCTGGGCATGAAGGAACGGTGAGCTCCTCTGTGACTCATGGCCACTCACAGGAAAGGTCACCTTGCTGCTGCTGGCATTTAGACCCCTCCGGAGTGTGACATAGGGAGCGATGGTGGACGACTGTTGGAGCCTTGACGTGGACCCCGAGAGCCCTTCGTGAGGAAAGAGAAGTGCAGATGTATTTGGGGGGTGGACAGACCCCCCGCTTCTCCCTCATCAATCCCTATCTTCGTGGGAGACCAAGAGGACCCAGCCGACAACTTGCTCTTCTTTCTTTTCTCCCTCCCCAGGGCCTGGAAGAGCAAGGCCCAGGTAGAGGGTGGGGGGCCAGCCCGGGGTGCTCTCTGTCCCTGCTGGGGAGTGTCCCCGCAGATCTGTGGCCTTCCCTAGGCTTCCCTCCCATGTGCAGGACCTGGGCTGCTCAGCAGGTAGGATGACAGGAGGACAGGAATGCCTTTCGCCCCTTCCACCTGCCGCACCTCAGGCATCCTGCACCGCCCAGCTTGGGAGAAGAGGGGACAGGGAGGAAAAGAGGGTGATTCAAGAAAGGACTTGTCGAGTCTTCGAGCAACACAAGGGGAAAGTCTGAGACGCCCAAGCTGGAGGTAGTCACCCAGCACCCCTCCTGCCAGGTGCTGTGGCCCCAGAGCCAGAGCACTGGGACTGTCTTCTGGCTCCATCCCTGATCTGCTCATTGGCAAGTTATTTAATTTCTGTTCGCCTCTGTTTCCTTATCTCTAAAATGGGGATAATACTAATACATCCTTCACAGCAATGTTGTGAATATTAGGTGCACATAAAGTGCTCGAACAGTGCAGGCTTTACAGTCATTGCTATTATAATCGCTCCTGGGGACAGAAGGCATGGAAGAGGAAGAAGAAGAGGCATGGGGCCAGGTCTCCCCCTTACCAGCAGTCAGAGCCCCTGACAATCGTTAGCACGCCTCGGCCCACAGCAGCAGGCCACAAGGGAGTGAGGTGCTAGCTGAGGGTGGGGAGCAGTGGGCAGGGGTCCCGGGAAGGCACCATGGAGGGCCCGCCTTACCTCTGCCTGGCAGCGTCTGGTACCTGCTGTCAGGGCCCACAAGCCCCAGGGAGGGCTGGGCCACGTCCCCGCTGAGGGTCGCCAGCTCGGGCTCACTAACATACGACCGCAGTTCCACCTGCAGGCACAGTCCCAGGCGGTCACACCTGCCCGGTGTTACCCTCCATCCCTCTCCCCTCACACAGTGGCAACCCCAGGGCCCTCCCGCTCACCCTCGAGTCCCCGTTCACACACTGCCCCAGCTCCCGGTCTCGCTTCCTCTCGTCTGACTGCCGCTTGAGGCCACGCACGGATGTGTGCCGGATGATGGTGGCTTCTCTTGGCAGAGGTGGCACAGCTGGGGGCTGGTCCTCTGGGCTGTAGAGCTCTGGGAGTGGGGGCCTGGGAGGTGCCTCGTCCTCCTGCTCAGAATGAGAACCAGAACCAGCGCCCAGTGAGACGGAGTGGGGGGAGGACAGCTGAGTGGCACTGCCACGGTGGTGGCCCAAAGGGCAGGGACAGGCCACTTCAGAGTCGAGACCACCCAGGCCAAGAAGCGCTAATGTTCCCTGGAAAATTGGTGAAGATGGAAGACGCCTCTGCTCTTTCTTTTCTTGTCTTTGATGTGTGTATCTTCTTTTCCTTTTTTTTTTTTTTTTTTGAGTCAGAGGTCTCACTCTGTTGCTTAAGCTACCCGCAGCCTCAACCTCCTGGGCTCAGGCGATCTTTCTACCTCAGCCTCCTGAGTAGCTGGGACTACAGGCATGTGCCACCACGCCCGGCTAATTTTTTCACTTTTTGTAGAAATGAGATGTTACTATGTTGCCCAGGCTGGTCTCGGACTCCTAGGCTCAAGCAATCCTCCTGCCTCAGTCTCCCAAAGTGCTGGGATTACAGGTATGAGCCACTGCACCTGGCCTGCATACATTTCCTATATTTCAAAGTGTTACCTGTACATCCTATCCCCCCACCCCACACACACACACAAATGTGTGTGGCTCTGGCTCTGGGCCCCCATGCTCTTGGCTCTGGGCCTAACTGCTCCCTCCACTGACTGGGGTGTACCATCAGGAAGCACGTTGCTACTGCTGTACTCACTGATGTCAGCACCCCCGTCCAGAGAATAAACATCTACCCACTTCATGGCTCTCAGCCTGAGCGGCCCAGCCGTGCACAGACTCTGGAGGCTTCAGCAGTGCAGGGGGGACTGAGCACAGACAGAGTCTGCACCCCCTGCCCTTTCTATCAGAAATGTGCATGGTTACAAAATACTTCCTCCTTCTTGACTCAGGCAGAACAGGCCCTCAGGATGAGTGACTCACTGACTTCCAAGTGGCCCACTCCCTGGAATGTGATGAATGTGCCTATTTCCTTGAAATGCTGCCTCTGCAAGGCTCTCTGAGGGCTGGGATTCCTCCAGGTCAACAGACAGGCCCCTGACTGCCTGACTGCCATGAACACTCACTCCTGGGACTTATTCTAATTTGGCTTTGTTTTTAAGAGTTTTGCTGCTGGGCGCGGTGGCTCACACATAATCCCAGCACTTTGAGAGGCTGAGGTGAGAGGACTGCTTGAGCCCAGGAGTTCGAGAATAGCCTGGCCAACTTGGTGAGACCTCATCTCTACAAATCTCTATAAATCAAAGAAATTAGTCAGGCATGGTGGCGTGTGCCTGTAGTTCCAGCTACTTGGAAGGCTGAGGCGGAAGGATAGCCTGAGCGCAGCAGGTAGAGGCCGCAGTGGCCATAAGTATGCTACTGCACTCCAGCCTCAGCGACAGAGTGAAACTCAAACTTAAAAAAAAAAGTTTTGCATAGTTCAAGGAAGGACACTCTATGCTTGCTTTGCAAAGGTTGATGAACACTCTTTTAAAGCCACATGCTTCACTGATGTGTGAAAGTTAAGCCACTTGCTTAAGGAACCCACTGGTTCTCTAAGGATCAGCAGTTTCCAAACCTGATTGAGTTGTCAGAATCACCAATTTCTAAAAGGCTCCCCAGAAAAATCAACACAAAACACTGACAGCCTATGATTGAAGAGACTGTAATGTCCAGAGACGGAGGGTGAGAGGGAGACATTTTACTATAAACTTTAAAAAATCTTTAGTTTTTGTATCCATTGAGAGTATTACATACTTTTTAAAAAGACATTATGCTCAAGAAAACAAGCCAAATAAGAATGAAAGAACTATAGCTACATGCAACAATGTGGATAAATCCCACGAACATAATGCTAAAGAGACCATGCAAGATACAAAACCATATAGAATTATAGATGAGCATAAATGCAGTGTTTAGGAATGCCAACATAGGTAGTAGAACTTATAAAAATAAAAAAGCAAGGGAAATATTATCCAAAAGTCAAGGTGGTGGTTTCTTCTGGCAGAAAGGAAGTGGTCTGGCCTGGAAGGCACCCACAGACTTCCGCTTGCTGGCAAAGTTCTATTTCTTGATCTGGGTGTTGGTATCACACAAGTGGTCTCTTTATTATCATTTATTAAATTGTATGCTCCTGTTTGATGTCATTTTCTGGATAGATAGTATTGTTTCACAAATATAAATGTTAGAAACAAATGACAATAAATGGTAAAATCAGTAAACACACAAACATTACTAGGAGAGAGAAGACTCCCCCCGTGTTCTGTACTCAACCAAAATCTCTGCCTGAGAGCCACAGAGGACTGAGCTGTGAGATGGAGCCTCTGTGACCATGTGCACAAGGGAAACTAAGGTGGCTCCGAGAGGGGATGGGGTTTGCCCGAGGACAAGGACTGGTACCTCTTCCCTCTGCACCTTGTCCCAGCTGGCAGCACCCTGCCTTATGTCAGTGGCCATCTGTCCTAGGCATTCCTGCTGTGTGTTCTGGTGTTTTCTACCTCCTGTTTTATAGAGGCTGGAGGTCTAGTCTACCTCTTAGATCTGGGATTGGAAAGGAGAGCTCAAGATGGAGAAATCCACAGTGACTTTCTGGCTGGGTCATGGCCACATCCTGGAAGCAGGTGGATGGTGAAGCCCAGGATGCAGGAACTCCTGTGTTTTACCTAGCACTGTGCCTGACCTCATCAGAGGTCCCAGGCACACAGAGAAGCCGGGCAAGGTTCCTCGTGTTCTCTAGGCAAGGCTGGCCTGGCCCTAGAGGCCTGAGCTCTCTCGGTACCTGACCACAGCCTCTACTACTGTAGAGTCTGCTGCATTCCCAGTCTCTGCCAAGAGTTTGGCCCTTCTGTATGCCAGGTAAACCGAGGTGCTGGCCCAGGCAGCCACATGGGCCACAGGCCTGACCTGGGACTGCAGGTCTAATCAGATGGCACAGAATAAGAAAGAACGGGCAAGAGTGTGACGGGGTTCACTAACACGGAGACTTTGGGGAGATTTCACCCACTTGGGGTCTGGCTTTCTCATCTGGGATGGGGATCCTGCCCCCCTCCTACTTATACTCCAAGAGGTTATTACAAAGATCACAAGCATTCCCACAGCCCAGCTTTGCGTTCAGTAGCAGGGGAAGGAGAAGATACTTTTCCTGGGGTGAGAGTACTGCCCAGGCTTGTGTCATTGCAGGAGAGCCATCCACAGATCTGCACAGAGCCCCACCTGGGGACAGCCTCACCAGCAGCCACACCTCTCTCCGTACAGTGCAGACCACAAATTCCACCCTACTCAGCACACTTTTTCTTGCTGGACCTCTCAGTCTTCCCAACTGCAAAATGGGACAGTTGGGTTCCATCACCCTACCAGCCCTGAGAGTCTAAGGCACAACAGCAGAGTCAATCTTACTTTTTAACTGCTCATGACTCATGACATTCCTAGGACTCTGGCTGCTTTCATTTCCCCAAGTTTCCCCAAGTTTCTTTCTTAGGAGAAGTTAATCTGAGGACAGAGAGGGACAACTGTCTGTCAGAGAGGAAACCGTGGTTCTCTGTTCCCAGTTGTCACTACTTACAACTTGGGGCTTCGTCTTCGTTGGTGACTGGAGGGGGGATGTCACTTTCCTCAGCTGGGGCGGGTGAGGTCGGTACGGCACGTAGGTTTGCAGCTGAGGGAAGAGCCGAACCTCCAGAGGGGTCCGCACAGGGCTGGTGGGGGGACTGGGCTGCAGGGGCGGCTTGCTCTCAGGAGTCGAGAGTGAAGGCACAGGCGGGTGAGGAAACAAAGGCACCGTTTTTCTCTCTAAGGGGCATGGAAGGAAGCAGCATGGGATGGAACCAACATCCTCTTCCTCAGAGGACAGATGGGGTGATTTGGCACCACGTAGACCCCATCTCCCCATGGGCATCCCACCCACCTCATTTCCCACCTCCGCCCCCAATGTCCACCAGTTCCCCCACACCCAGGCATATGGCGAACACACCTGGATTTTTGACTGATTCCACCAGGATTCTGAAGTTCTCTTTATTTGCACTCAGGCCTGCTATGACATCTTCAATCCTCCACAGATCCTTCTGTATCTGCGATTTCTCCTGCAAAAGACAAACTCATGGGTCATTGCCTTCTCGGCGCCTTACGAGGAGTTTTTGCTGTTGTTGTTTTGAGACAGGCTGGAGCACAATGGTGCAATCACAGCTCACTGTAACCTAGAACTACTGGGCCCAGGGGATCCCCCTGCCTCAGCCTCCCAAGTAACTGGAACTCCAGGCACAAGCTACGACACCCAGCTAATTTTTAAATTTACTGTGGAGACAGGATCTCACTATGCTGTCCAGGCTGGTCTCAAATTCCTGGCCTCAGGTGGTTATTCCACCTCGGCCTCCCAAAGAGCTGGGATTACAGGCATAAGCCACTGCGCCCAGTCAAGCAGTTTCTTCTTAGAATGGATCTTGTTATTTCAGGCAGAGCCCTTCACCCTGGGGGGCAGCACCCCCTCTGGAAATCCCATTTGGCTTTATTGCTTCACAGCTTCCTAAGGAAGCACAGACATGGAAAATGCCCAAGATTCAGGGAGAAATTTCAGAGTAGCTTTTACCAGTCCAGCTTGCCTACTCCTAATTTAAAAATAGACTGCCTTAAATACTGTGTGATTCCACTAAAATACTGTACGAAGTATCTGAGTCGTCAATTTCATAAAGACAGGAAGTAGAATAGTGGTTGCCAAGAGCGGGGGAGGGAGGAAGAAGGAGTTTTTAAATGGGTTTAGAGTCTCAGTTACACAAGATAGAAAGTTCTGTATGCTGAGTGTACAACAATGTGAATGTACTTAATACTGCTAAACTACACACTTAAAATTGGCTAAAATGGTCAATTTATGCTAAGCCCATTTTACCACAATTTAAAAAAATTCACTGTCTTATGCAACCTTGGCAGAAGAGAAGGCAAGGACAAGCATCTACGCCATCTCTCACAATACTATAAGAAAAGGTTTGGCAGTAGTGGGAAACTGCTGTGGGTGGGGGGAGATAACGGGATTTGCAGTAGTGGGAATCTATGGTGGGGGGGGGCACACCTCATCAACAAGGGTACCTGCATAATGAATATTTGTATACCTAACCCGGAATTGTACCCTACATCTTTAAGATAAAAAAACTAAAAAAAAAAAATCCCTGATCAAATACTTTGCAACAGATATGAAAACAGACATCTGAAGCCTCCAGTCCCAAAGGGGCTCACGCTTACCCTCTCTCCCTACTCCCACACCAAAGCACATCCTCGAGGCTGACAAACAAATAAGGGGCTCGAGGCTCAGCTGCACACTGAAGTCTGAGTACCCCAAAAGACAATGTATCACTGAGAGTATGTGCGGGAGGGGATTATCTCCAGAGCTGAAGTCCCCAAGCTGAGTGTTGGGCACAGGTGAAGGAAGGGTTAACATCAGTCCTCTCGCTCCTCCCTAGCCCCCCGGCAGCCCACCCTCCTGCCCCCACTGTGCCTGTCACCCCTACATGTAAGAGGAGAGCAGAGAGGAACAAAGGTCAGAGGATCCCTAACTTTCTCCAAGGGTGATGGGACATTGTAGACCTTAATGATGAGGTGAGGGGAGCTTTTGGGAGCAGGGAGTGGAGTTTCATTCCTGTCTCCTCACACAATACTGGGCAGGAAGGCTCCTCTGTGAAGTGTTGAACTCCCACCCAGCAAGTAGAACACCTACAAGCAGAGGCTCACACAGCTCCCTGCCACCCATGTGGCCAAGAAGCTCTTCATAAATGAAGCCACCCTACCTTACTGAAAGGGCAATGCATTTTCTCACAGCCAAATCTGGCTAAAGGGAGGTGAGTGTCTAAGCCCGTTACTGAGAATTTGCATAGGGGGCTGCAGGTATATCTGCAGTGTTAATGATTTATCTAGGTCTCTAACAACCTGCCCTGCCTAGGATGAGACCAACGAGGCAGTGGCACAGAGCCTGCCCAAAGCTGGGATTTGTAAGCTTCCAGGTCCCCATGGCACTTAGAGAAAGTGTGAGTAATGCAGCAGGGTAAGGTGTAAATCAAATTTAGGGGGCTGAGTTTTCCAGGAAGTCTGTGACAAAACCTGTTACATTGTACCAATTTGCTTTTTGGAGGGGGGAAAAAAGGATTCTGGGCCTGCTATGTGCTAAATCATCATGACATAAGGCATAGTAGAAATATAAATGGTCAAAATCACACGGATAGATGTTTAATCTAGCAATTACATACAAGCAAATTAAAACAAGATGCCATTTAGCAGACTGGCAAAAACTAAAGAGACTGATAACATCAGGTATTGGCAAGGATGCAGGCAAGTAGGTTTAGTACTTTTTTCACTTGTTGTAGGCAGGAAGGTAATAAGTATAGCCCTTCAGAGGACGACCTGGTGGTATCCATCACCCTTTAAGATGTGCACTCATGGCTAGACTCGGTGGCTCTGCCTGTAATCCCAACACTTTGGGAGGCCGAGGCGAGTGGACTGCCTGAGCCCACAGGTTCGAGACCAGCCCAGACAACTTGGCAAGACCTCGTCTCTACAATATATCAAAATTAGCTGGGCATGGTAGTGCACACCTGTAGTTCCGGCTACTTGGAAGGCTGAGGCGGAAGGATCGCTGGAGCCCAGAAGGTCGACACTGGGGTGGCCGTGAGCGTGCGTGCCACTGTACCCCAGCCTGGGTGAAGGAGTGAGACTCCAACTCAAAAAAAAAAAAAAAAAAAGTCTGGCTCGGTGGCTCAGCCTGTAATCCCAGCAATTGGGAGGCCAAGACAAGTGGATTGTCTGAGCAGGTGGGTTTGAGACCCGTCCAGGCAACTTGGCAAGACCTCATCTCTACAATAAATCAAAAATTAGCCAGGCATGGCAGCACGCGCCTGTAGTTCTGGTTACTTGGAAGGCTGAGGTGGAAGGATCGCGGGAGCCCAGCAGAGCGAGGCTGCGGTGGCCGAGAGTGTACCACTGCACTCCAGTCTGGGCGACAGAGTGAGACTCCAACTCAGAAAAAAAAAAAAAACAAAAAACAGATACACCCACTTCAACCCAGCAAGTCCAATCCTGGAAGCCTATCTTAAAGAAATGCTTGTAAGCAAGCATGAAAAGGCAGATATATAGTTGCTCACTACAGCACCATTTATTAAAACAAGACACTGAAAATAACCTAAATGTCTACCAGAAGAGGAATGGCTAATAAAGTAGGAAATGCCTAGACTATGAAATAGTATGTGGTGGGCGTGGTGGCTCACGCCTATAACCCCAGCACTTTGGGAGGCTGAGGTGAGAGGATTGCCTGAGCCCACAGGTTCAAGACCTGCCTGGGCAACCTGGTGAGTCCTCATCTCTACAATAAAAAAAGAAAGAAAAAAGAAAAATAGTACGTAACGGTCAGAAGAACTAGTTTGATTAATTTGGACTGGTGCTGTCCAATACAACTTTCTGAGATGACAGGAACCTTCTCTAATCTGTACTATCCAAGAGAGTAGCCAGTAGCTTACTTGAATGAATCTAGTGGGACTGAGGAGGGACAAATTTAACTTCAGTTACTTTTAATTAATTTATATTTTGTTGAGCAGCATAACTTAGGGGTATCTTTGCTTGAAAGATTTCCACAATATGAAGTTAGGACAAAAGAGTGAGTTGCCAAACGATGTTTTAAGTGTGATCTTCTTGAAGCAAGCCCTTTACCGACCCCCATACCCAATAAATGATATGATTCTATGCATGGCCAGACTTTTGGAAAAGCATAGAAAATGGTCTGAGGCCGAGCTCGGTGGCTCAGCCTGTACTCCTAGCACTTTGGGAGGTCAAGGAGAGTGGACTGCCTGAGTCTGCAGGTTCGAGACCAGTCCAGACAACTTGGGAAGACCTCGTCTCTACAATAAATCAAAAATTAGCCAGGCGTGGTAACGAGCACCTGTAGTTTCGGCTACTTGGAAGGCCTCACGGAAGTATCACCAGAGCCCAGCAGGTCAACACTGGGGTGGTTGTGAGTATGCCACTGCACTCCAGCCTGGGCAACAGAGTGAGACTCCAACTCAAAAAAAAAAAAGAAAAGAAAAGAAAACGGTCTGCACTCAATACATACAGGGAGGGTGATGGGACAGGGCAGGACAGGATGGGAAAGGGGAGCTTTTATGCCAGGTTTTTTTGTTTTTCCTTATTGCGGTGGCCTCTTCAAAGACATGAATAAAACAAATCACTGAAGAAGATAGGTGTAACTGGATGGGACAGTCTTAGGAGCTCACTTAGAAGTAAGTGCTTGCTGGGCTCGGTGGCTCAGCCACCCCGCGCCTTGGGAGGCTGAGGGGAGTGAATTGCCTGAGTCTGCGGGTTCGAGATCCGCCTGGGCAACTTGGTGAGACCTCACCTCTACAATAAAAATAAAAAAAATTAGCTGGGCATGGTAGTGCGCGTCTGTAGTCCCAGCTACTTGGAAGGCTGAGGTGGAAGGATCGCTGAAGCCCAGCAGGTCGAGGCTGCGGTGGCCAGGAGTGGCCACTGCACTCCAGTCTGGGTGACTGAATGAGACTCCAACTCAAAAAAAAAAAAAAAAGAAGTGCTTTAAGGACACTGTCAACAACATTCCCTGGTATTTTCAAGCCATTATACTAAGTACTGGGCATACAAAAAAATAGTCAAGTGTTACTCAGTTTGGATGAAGGGAAATCATGGAGGAAAACAACAGGTGACAGACACGTTTTGGGGAGCCTGCAGGCCGGCCCTGAGCCACAGTCTCTACCACGTAGCCCTAGACCTGGCTCTCTGGGAATGTCTCTGTGAGGGGAGGGACAGCAGGGCCTGGGGAGAAGCCTTGGGGCCCACAAACCTAAAGCCCCTCCAGAATGTCCTTCCTTTTCTGAGGGGAGGTTAATGTCTGGATAGGTAGTATATTCATGAAATCACTTGAACTCGTTCAACAGTGAGAAAGCCCAGCACTAAAAGTGCCCAGCATGGGGGCTCATGTACAAGAAGCCTCAGTTAATACCTGAATTCAAATTAAATGAATTTATGTCAGGGCTCTAAAAGGGGAGGTATAGCTCTTAAGTCAGGTTGGAAAACAGGTTATTTTCCACTTAAAAATTTTGAGGCCTAGGCACGGTGGCTCATGCCTGTAAATCGCAGCACCTTGGAAAGTTGAGGCGAGAGGACTGCTTGAGAAAAATAATTTGAGGGTGAGGTTAAACCTGGTTGGGCACCACGATTGGGGAACACTGGGCAGCTGGGGGACCCAACCTGGAAGAAAAGAAACCACACTGGGCCTTTCATTGCCTCATCTTCGGGGGATAGAGGCGTCTATCAATGGGGTGGCCTGGTTTTGACGGGCAAAGAGGCAAAGCTCTGAAGCCGCCTTTCCTGAGTAGGGTAGGGGCTACAGTGATGGGTATCACCCAGCCTGGCCTCCAGAAATGCAAATGACTGCCTGGAGACTAGGGTGCCTCAATGGACTGAATTCACACTGCCTCCTGGGGTGGAGGTATGATAACGTCTATCTTCAGGAATCAGAGGAGGGAAGGGGCGGGGCTTCCTGTTGCTGTCTCAGGGAAGGACTAGGAGCCTAAGATGTGGCCAAGAACCACGGAACACAGATCAATCTGTGATCACCCCACACGATCAGAAGTAAAGCCCTTCCAAAAGTACCCAAGGCTTGTTTTTGAGAGCAGAGAGGCAGGGGGAGCTGGGATAAGGCTTCTCATCAAAGCCTGGCTGGGGGATGGGATCCCCCAGGGAGAGTCTGGGGTGAGTCCTTACAGGGGTAGATTGAGAGTCCAGGGCCGGGGAAGAGACAGCCCCTGGGTGGTGCTCATAGTCCCCACAGGGGAAGGCTTCCACGAAAACTGAGCTGGGGGAGGGCGCAGTGGCTCATGCCTATAATCATAGCACTTTGGGAGGCCCAGGTGAGCGGATTGCCTGAAATTACAGGTTCAAGACCAGCCCAGACAACTTGGCAAGATCTCATCTCTACAGTAAATTAAAAGAAAATTAGCTGGGTATGGTGGCGTGTGCCTGTAGTTCCAGCTCCTTGGAAGACTGAGGTGGAAGGATCACCTGAGCCCAGCAGTCAAGGCTGTGGTGACCGTGAGCATGCCATTGCACTCCAGCCTGGGCAACAGAGTGAGAACCCAACTCAATAAAAAAGAAAGAAAAACCGAGCTCAGAAGCGATGGACCGGCCCAGGTCACCTGGAAGAAAAAGGCTCTTCTGTGCTGCTCCTGAAGGGTCTGCTTCAGATGTTCCACATCACTCTCCAACTTCAGGTATTCGTTCCAAGCGTTTTCCATCTCCTGTTGGCCAAGGAAGTGCTTCCAATTCTTAGTTATCCCCTGCCCCCAGGAGGTCTCCTAAGCACCTGTGTTGCTGACTCAACCGGGAGAATTGGGAAATGAACCCAGCGGCCCTCGGGCAGGCCTGGCAGGAGACAGACAGGAGCAGGAGGGAGTGGGACATCCTTTCACCCATGGTCTGACCCTGGCCACCTGCACTGTCCCCTCTTCCACCCTTGGGATGCTTTGATTCCCAGCGCTGGAGAAAGAGCCTGCACCGCATCAGACTGACAATGAAAAAATGGAAATTCTGACGTCTTAGAATGAACTGCACACAGATCAGGGGAACAGCCTTGCCGGATGCTCTGTGGAATCCATTCCACTGAGTGTCACTGCCTGGAGTCGCTGATGGGAAAGCAACCTATGGCACAGGTGTAGACAGACAAGCCATCCCTACACAAGGCCAGCCACTGTCAGGAGGCAGCCTGGAGAAGTTCTACTGCTCCAAGACTCTCGCCCTGGTCACCAACTCAACTACAGCGCAGGAGCTGAGAAGAGCAGCCCCTCGCCCAGCCCGTCTTGAGGGGACGCACGTCCCACCCTGCACGCACAGTGGACTCTCTGGAGAGCTCGGCTCGGATGTGGACGAGGTCCTCCTGCAGCAGCCTCTGCTGGCAGGCGATCTTCTCCAGGTGCTGGGGCTGGTCTCGGTACTGCTCCATCTGTCTATGCAACACCTCCAGCACAGACTCCAGTTGGTCCTGCATAGGAAGGTCAAACAGCAAACGGATAGAAGGACTGTCCCCAGAGGCCTCCCCATCCCATGCCATGAGCCAAACAAAGAGCCTGCCCAGTGGGTGGGCTGGGGCAAGGCTCTAACAGCTGTCTCAGTTTCCTCATCTATAAAGTGGGCATAAAACCACCTAACCTTATGGGATAAACTGCGAGGATCAATCAAAGAGTAGACAAAAAACTCTTTAAGCTCTAGCGGAAAAGGGTATGTGACAAATGATAAACCTTCAGCATTACATAGAAAGCATTAGTAAAATGCAAAAAGATAATCATTCACTTTAAGAGTAGAAAAGACCAGCCAGGCATGGTGGCTCACACCTGTAATCCCAGCACTTTGGGAGGCAGAGGAGCAAAGAATGCCTGAGCCCAGGGATTCAAGATAAGCCTGGGTACCTTGGCGAGATCTCATCTCTGCAATAAACTAAAAAATCAGCTGGGCATGGTGGCACATGCCTATAGTTCTAGCTACTTGAAAAGCTGAGGCGGATGGATCACCTGAGCCCAGGAGATCAAGACTGCGGTGGCTGAGAGCATGCCATTGCACTGCAGCCTGGGCCACAGAGTAAGACTCTGACTCAACAACAACAAAAAAAGAGTAGAAAAGACCAAACATTGGTGGTCCCTGGTCCATTCCTGCCCTTCTATCCAGATGCTGCCCCGCAGTCCAGCTTCTAGAAGGAAAGCAGCTTTAGGAGGTGAGGGCCTCTGCCCTGAAAAGCCTGCATCCAGGGAGCCCCACTCCCCTGGGGCTCAGGGCCTGGGGTCATCACACACAGACCAGTAGAGCCCCTCTCCCAGGCTTGCCTCCCAGAGCCTCCAGGGAGAGGTGGGCCAGTGCAGAATGGCGGGGGGTGGGGGGGTCTTGGAACATGCAGGCTGGGGTCTCCTGATAAGATAGAAGTCTCCGGGCAACCCCTTCAGGTCCCCTCCCACTGTGGGAGCTTTTCTGTCCTCTCAATAAATACTGCTTTCTGGAAAAAAGATAGAAGCCCCTAAGAATCACTACTTAGATATGAAGACATTGTTCTGGACAAACTAAAGCTGTTGTTTGATAGTAACACGAGAGTCCAGCCTATGTCTCAGGAAAGACAGGACAAAACGCCCCTCTACCCATCCCAAGGTACTTTGTTCTCCTTGAGGGCTCGAATCTTGTCTTCCAAGTCCTGGAGGATTCTGTCTTGTTCGCAGAAGATGCTCAGTTTGACCTATGAGCAAGCACAGGTTGGACAGGGTCTGGCGGATGGTGGGCGCACAGCATAGCCTTGGGACTGGGATCTAAAAGCCTCTGGCTGCAGAACCATCCAAGCCCTGTCTGAAGTCGCCCACCCAGGTCTGGGTCAGGGGTCAGCTGAGGGTCAGTGTGCTACTCTGCTCACTCACATCAATGTCACTCTCGGCGATCTTCATGGGCTTCAGACTTCGATCCTTGAGAAGGTCCCGGCCTGTCATCTGGGAGGTGAACAATTTAAAGGAGATTTAACCACGATGTTTGAGAAAGGAACTCAGGAAGGAACATGAGTCCTACAATGGATGGATGTGGAAGTCCTCAGCAGTGGCAGGTAGGGTCATGGCAGGACAAGGGCAAAAACTCAGGCAAAACCTGCTGTATTTCTATGCCTATTTCAATTTAGGAGAAAACCAAAACCTTCTCATGTCCTAGCAACACTTGTAAATTTCTCAAATTAAAGAAAATGCAGACGTTTAAGTTATGGGATCACCAATCTTAGAAGGCCCCAAATGTCTTACATTGGCCCTAAATGGGTGTGATAAATCAGAATGAATCGTGGAGATTTGCCACTGATAAGACAGAGGTTTGCTGCTGAACCTGGGGATAAACATGTCACAGAAATCCATCACCCTCTGCTCAGGGGAACAGGCAAATCCCCCAAGCATTGTTAAGCCCTAGATGAAGAAGTCTCTGCGTGCCTTCTTACCTTCCTCACCCTATACTATTTGGGAAGAAGACCTGGCCAAGGGAAGCATGGGTAGTTCCCAGCTGGGGTTTTTCATTGGTCCCTGAATAACTGAAGCTAGAAAGAAAGAAAGAAAACCACAAAGGAATGGACAAAAGTCACCTGAACTTCTGGACCAATGGGATTTCACAACATTTACTGTCCCTTGTTGGACTCAAGGTGGGCAACATGCTGCCCATTGCCCACCTCTCCCAGACTCCGAAGGAGCTAAATCCAACTCATTCTGTTTTCATGTCCCCCAGTCTCCATCTTGCCAAAATCTGTGCAGGGGCAGAGGGGGTGACTTTTTTACAGATGCCCCCGCACGGCGAAGACAAGGTCAAGGATAGCCAGGTCTAACGTGTCCCATTAGGGGAGGCCATCTCACTGAGCTCTGACCGGGGAAATAGAGTGGGGCTAACCACAGTAGAAGGAGGTAGTGTGTGTGCAGATCTTAGCATGGACAGACGGGCAGCTTCTGGAGAGATGGCTTTCGATTTATCCCCACTCCATCCTGAAGGTTCAGTAAGTTTGTCAGTGTGCATCAGGACGTAGAAATGTACTAGCAACCACTCCCCTCGGCGCTCAAGCCCTCCATGGACCAACCATCTTACGCTCCCTCTCCCTGGGAATCATGATCAGTAAATCCAAAGACAGTGACCTTTCCCTGCCTGGGGTGAGAACTGATTCTGGGCTGCAAAGCTGCCCCCACCCAGTCCTTTAGTTGCACAGAAGAGGGCGGGACCACTGTCTTATTCATCTTGGTAAAGTCAGCCCTGAACATGAGGGCTGGCACAAGCTCAGCAAATGCTTATTGAATGGCAGGGAGGTCAAAGGGAAGCACGTGCAGGTCACATCCTAGAAAAATGGAACTCCAGTCAAATTCTGCTCTTCGAACTGACAGGGCAAGTATACATACACGTATACACACAGTCGTAGACACACAGGCTACTGCAACGGTCCACAGACAGACAGACTGATCTGCCTCCCAAGATGGGGAGTAGGGGGAAGGAAGGGATGGTGTGGATCTCATCCCAGTGAACTACAAACAGCTGAACTTCCCAGGCAGGACTCCAGGGAACTCAGGAGAAAGAGCAGGAGTGAGCAGTCACACTTCACTCTGTGTCACAGTCCTTTCAAAATGGAGGACAAGGAGCTTGTCTGGTCTCCAGAGGGCCTGACCCTGGGCTCATTTCCTGGGTAGAAATAATTTTCAGTGGAGACCTACTTTGGGGATTCCCCCCCAAGCAAAACTCTTCCCCTGATTTCACTAAAGCTTTTTACAGAGGACATCTTTTTGATACTTCAATAACATGGCAGAAAATCTAATTGAGCGATGCCTCATTTACCCGGCACCATCAGGAAGGGAATGAGATATTCTACACAAAAAGGGCATTTTGAGAAAGCTGAATCCTCTAAATTACACTTTTTGATGGAAAGCTTTCTCAAAGTCTGCCCTTTGCTGCCCTTATAGAATTCTGAATATACATTCCACCTTCTTTCTTCTCTCTTAGTACTCCCTCTTTTCTCTTTTTAGAGAAGTAAATTTCTCTTTTTAAAGTGTTGCTTACAAGGTGTGAGTCAGGAATTCAAAGGACCGAAAGCTCAACAGAGAGGAGGCACTTCCGTCTCTTCCCTCCTTGAACTGGTTTGATGCCCTTCAGGGTGTTCCTTCCACGTGCTGCAGCTGCCGCTAGGTACGCAGCAAATCAGATTACGATGTTCTGTTTGCTCCTCTGTCTCGCCTCATCAGACAGTAACCTAATTAGGAATAGCTGTGAAGAATGATGTTTTGTCTCTGTAACCTCAAAGTCCAGCCAGGGTCTGCCACATTAGGGATATTTGGGCAATGTTTGCTTAGTGAGTTCACGCATGTATCAAAGTAAAATGAGTTGGATCTGCTTCCTATGGACTGAAGGCCTCAGGCTTGAGGGCACAGGCTTCATGACAGCTGTTTACACAAGCTCAGAATTTAGCTCTCTTCCAGAAAACCAAGCCTACTAAGAAATATTATCTCCACAAGGAGTATATTACATCTAACGTCTCTTCTAAAAGTGTGCTTTCTCCAAAGGTGCAGCACAAAATTGAAAAATAAATAAAAGCGTGCTTTGTGACAGTAAAGTTTAAATCTATTTAAAACATCAACTACAGGTCCCCTCTCCCAGCACCTGTCACCGGAAAGAGTGAAAGGCTGTGGGCACTCATCCATTGAAAGAGGCTCTCCATCCGAAGGGAACCAAAGCTCACCCAGGCATCCTCCCTCCCCTCTCCCACATCCCGACACACATCCCAACCCGCCGCCTCCCTTGGAAAGCTACGAGAGCCGCCACGCCTCAGTCACCACTTCTGCATAAGTCAAAGGGGGTACAGGAAGCATGAGTGGGGGGAAGCGTTTTGTTCTAGTCCAGCTCCACCCAAATATCAGCTCCCTGCCCACCTTCATCTTAGGGCCATGGTGGAGTCTGAGGACACCCCGGAGACCTGCTGATCCCTCCCAGGAAACTCATGCTCAACTTCATCTAGGCGAGCCCTCACCATGGAGGCAGACAAGCAGAATGGAAACATGACACAAGCTGGTGGCAAGCCAGGCAAGCCCCCCTACCCTCCGACAGCACAAGAGATGAGTCACAGAACACCACAGATGAGAGGCTCAGCCTGGTGCATCGGCCAAAATGCTGAAGAGAGCTTCAGTTGAAAGAAAATAAACCAAAATGACTTGCGGGAAGCCCGGGGCGGTCGGGAGAGCGACTGGGTAAGCGAGAGATGGAGTCGGCACCGAGCCAGAAGCAATGGAATGGCCCCGGAGACACGGATCAGATCATCTTACGCTTCTCCTGGGCCGACAGCCCCGTGCTGACTTCTTCAGCACTTTGTAAAGCACGTTGATCAAAGGTTCATTATTTTTAATCTGTTCCAAACAAAAAAGGCAAATACAACAAAACGTAACAGGTGAGACATCAAACGACACTTGAAGCAGCCAGAATTTGGGGAACTGGAAGAGGGAAAGATGTGCGCTGTGCAGTTAGAAGGACCAGGCCTGAATCTCAGTGACGCTGCTTCCCAGCCAGGGGACCGTCCCAGACTTCAGTTCTCTTCTCTGTAAAATGGGGGCTACTATGATCTGTCTGAAGGGATCTGTGCACAGTCTGGTTTATGTGAGTGCCGATTTCAGTGCTCATTTCCTTCCTGGGTCTGCTGCAGAAGGCAATGGGGTGTATCAGAGGAGGGAGGGTGCCTCCTCCTCCGTCCTCCCCATCACACTCTGTAAGACACCAGTTTATAGAAGCGCCATACATTCGTCTCACTCCACCCAGCACTCTCTACCTTAAGTTCCTTGGACCCTTGCCGCCAGCCACATCTGTGAGGCATCTAAATGACTACGTCTTACTGACGGTCCCAAACGCTTACAGCTCCTTTCAGGAAACATTGTCCTCAACCCCCAGCGCAGTGGCTCTCAACCCTCGCTGAACACTGGAATCACCAGGAGAGCTTCAAAAAACACTGCTGCCTGAGCTCCAGCCATAAGAGAGTGTTGTGCGATTGGCCTGGGATGGGTCCTGGGCATTCAGTTCTCAAACACCCTCCTGGGTGATTCTAATGTGCTGCCAGGAGGAAGAGCCACTACTCTGAAACAGGGGTTCTCAAACTTCAGCATGCATTGGGATCACCTGGAGGGCAAATACACAGGTTTGCTGGGCCCCACACCCAGAGGTTCTCAGGGAGCAGGTCTAGGGTGGGATCCAAGATTTTGCGTTGTTAGCAAAGTCCCAGATATTGCTAATGCTTCTGGTCTGGCGAGTGGTCTTTGAGAACCACAACTTGGAAACAATGTTACTCAACACTGGCTGCACATTAGAAACACCTAGGGAGGTTTTTAAAAAATTATTGCTATTCAAGAGCAATACCTGAATATTACTAATAAAATCACAGTCTCTAAGAGGTAAGAGGTAGGACCCAAGTGTTTATGGTCACTTTTAAAGCACCCCAGTAGTTCTTGTTCATGGCCAGGGTTCTCCATTCTATAACAATTGACCTCAAACTTCAGTGTGCGCAAGAGTTACCTGGGAGCTTAAGAAAAAATTGCAGAGTTCTGGGCACCAGAGGTTCAAATTCAACAGACCCTCTAGATCTGCATTTTTTAATCAAGCTCCCAGGTGACTCTGAAGTAGGTAGAGTCCTCAGTCACAACTTAAGAAACTCTACCCTAGAAACTGACTTTGAACACAAATCCTGAACAGAGCAGCCCTGATCTCAGGCTCAAACAGAAGGAGTCCAGAGTCCAACAGGCCAACAGGTACTGATGGCACATCCCTAACCAGAGACGAAAGCCTCACTAGGGTTGACAGTCAACCTTCTCTACCTGCAGAGACATCACCTGAGCGGCAGCAGGCATCCTCCCCCACCTCACCTTCCCAGCTGTGTTTCTGCCTCAAAAAAACAATCCAGGCTGTCAATAATACCCAGTTAAGGTATGGGGTTCTAAAGAGCAGAACTTTA